GAGCGTTGCAAAAACAACCTTACAAAACACCATTGTCGTAGTTTCACTTTTCGTTTCTATTAGAACTATATACATCCCAACCCCTGTTCAGAGCCCTGGGAAGGACCGGCTTTCTGTGGGCTCCGCATCCCCAGTGGCTGCAGACTCAGGTTGGGCTCATGTAAGCCATAATCTAAACTCCTTCTTGTGGGGTTATATAGGGTATTATATAGGGGGTTAAGAAGGGGATACTGGGACTTTAGGCTGTAGCTCAGGTGAAGCTTTGGGGTTTAAGGCTTTGGGTTTTCACGTAAGGGTTTGGGGTTGGGGTGGAGGGGAGTGGAGTTCAGGATTGAGTCTAGGCTGTAGCGGGATCCGGTGTCAGCGAGAGTCGTAGATGTTGAGAGGGGAGGCCACCAGCCAGGCGATATGGGGGTTGTTGGCTGGGTTGCCAGTGTGGCTCCCCTTTGCATCTTCTGACCCGTTAGATTAGATTTTTTGCCTTTGAAATGCAAGGATAGGCAGCATAGTTTTCCGGCAAACTACATCAACTAAGGCGCAAAGAGACTTGAATTGTGTAGTTTCACTGCAGACTGTAGCAAGTGTGGTCGGTGAAGAGAAGAACAAGGCTCTTCAAGAAACTCCATGGAGGGTTGTTAAAATTATCACCTTTGGTGAGGGCACCCGAAACCTCTGGGCCATGCATATAATTGGTACCCAAGAATGGACCACAGTTTTGACAACCTACCCTATGAACATTTTCCATTTGATTCTCCCTTGTTGGGGTATTGTCCCTGTTACAACTGTTATAATCCCCATGTAACCCTACATAACCCTGTATCGTCCCTTTATAATAACCCTAAACCCTGCCACCTAGCTTGAGCCTTTAGCAGGCGCGCCATCTCGAGGAGCCGAGCGGTCGCAGGCGTGAGGGTCAGCTCTTGCCCAACCCCTTCAGAGGAACTCGAAAGTAGATCCCCCTTGAGGGTTCCTATGTACTCACCCAAGAGGCCCAACAGCAATACAGGGTACCATGGTGAGAGTTCTACTTTCTAGGTCCCCTTAGGTGTCCAGGTGCTGGTCTTTGTCTGCACTGTTTGCCATGGATTTGTGGGGATTCCTCAAGGCTTGCGGATTTCTGATCTTCAAGCTCCAAGATACAGTCGCGGTTTGGCCGAAAGCCTTTTCTGCAAGGCGGCCAGCTAGACAGCAAAAACCGTAAGTACACATTGTTGCTTAATAAAGCGATTAAGGCAGCATCCATCAAGTTGTACTGCAGGCACCAAAGCTGCGTGTGCACGCGTCCACCAATTCTCGTACCTTGTCAGCGTCTTTGTAGTTGCAGAAGAAACAGCCTAAGTAGGGCACTCCCTTGAAGGCTTAAGAGCAAATCTCAGTGGACAAGTTTGAGATTCCCCTGTACAGGGCGACGTGGACTCGCCAAAGACGTTGACCACCAAGAAGCCCAGAACAAGCATCCAGTCGGGCTTCAGAAGAACTTTCCCTGCTTTTTGTCGCTTTTGGTTCAGGATGTTTAGCTTGGAGATTTGATGGCATCCTGGAATCAACCCTAAGCTCTAAACCTTGAATCCTACTCCCTAAACCGTATATACCCCCATAGAACCCAGGAGTTCGCATCTTGGGCAAGCTGAGGTTTCCGTGTGCTTGGTGCGCTTGTGCCGGCCCCCTGTCTGCATGATCTGGGGAGGCTGCGTGGATAGGCAGGAGCGGCATTCAGATCAGTACTCTAAACCACAAGTGAGTACACCCCGCAAACTGATTCCCGTGCTCAACCCCAAAAAAGGACGGCAGGCCAGAAAACATGCTTGAAGCAATCCACCGTGTACGGTAAGGTGGTAAGAGCCCTAAACCCTAAATAGCAGTTTCCATTTCATTTCCATTATCCCAACATAGCCCCAATATACTATAGTAGTTTCCATTTGTTTTCCATTATCCCTAAGACTTTCAAAGGTCCATCCCTCAACTTGCAGCCCTGAAGCCGAAATTCCCCCAAACTATAGTACATGGGGGTTCTATTGGGATAATGGAAAAGAGAACCTATTATGGGTTATATAGGGATTTTAGGGACTGAGTGCATTTAGCCTACAACTGCTTGAATGATTGCATAGATCGCCACCACGCTAGAGGTTGAAAAAGGTACGGTTCTACGTTTGATAGGACTTGGCTGCTACAAGACCTTAGCTACTCCTTATACAGCCCTATGTAACATGTATCCCTAGAACCCCTATAAACTCCCTCTACAACCCCTACAAAATCCTTTTAGAACCTCTATAAATCCCTATAGAACCGCTATAACTCCGTCTAGAACCCCTATAAAATCCTTTTAGAACCTCTAAAATTCCTATAGAAACCCGGTAGAAACTGTTGGGGTCTTTTCTTCCTATTGGGAGGAGGTGACGGTTGAGCCAAGGCCTGCCTGGGTGTGATCAAGAAGCCCGAGGTGGAGGAGCCTTCCTAGGGCCTGAGCTTCCCAGACCCCCCAAAAGGGACCCCAAATCCTTGGGGACTCATAAGAATTAGAGTCCCCTAGAGCCTAGAATCATATGGGGGAAATTATGTAGGGCGTCTGTAGAGGCTATTATGGGTTGTGGGGGACCACATGGAGGGTTTACATAGGGGAGATCGATCCTTTTCAGGGGCCTCAGCTGCCTCTGCTTAGGGCAGTTGTCAAGCTTGGAGGCTCTTCTTTGGAGCTAGGTGTAGGGTTTAGGGTTTAGGGTTTAGGGTCTAGGGTTTCGGGTCTAAGGTTTAGGGTATAAGGTTTAGGGTATAAGGTTTAGGGTGTAAGGTTTAGGGTTCAAGGTTTAGGGTTTAGGGTCTCGAGTTCAGCCCTTTCAGGGAGATTCTGGGGACTTTTGAGGGTACATATAGGGTTATATAATAGTTATATGATATGAGGATTCCGGGGTTAATGGCCCATACTAGGGGCCCATGGTTTTGGTATAACCCGTGCCAATTTCCGTTTGATTCTCCATCACCATCCTTTTATAACCCATATACACGCACATATAAATATATATATATATATACACATTTATCTTTTGTAGCTTCCATTTCATCTTCCATTCGATTTTCCATTTGGTTCTCCATCAATCGAAGGGAAGCTCTACTTTGAGAACTGCCTATGCTCAAAATGAATTTTCAGCGGCCTGCACACGGCGAAGCATGTCGGGCAGCGGCCTTCACCATGGGCCTTCAAGCGTGCTATTGAGTACTGCAGGTCCTACATAATTCTAGCGCATAATCGTTTTTGAGGCTTCAAGACCTTGCATGTGAGCAATAGCACGCAGGTAGTCAGATGAATAGATGCACGCACCAAATTCGCATATTCACTTCGCAAGTGCGATGCCAGCTTTGGTTCTCACTGCTCTCATGAACTGAGCACATCAGTGCTCATCCCCGTCGCGGTTGCAAGTCAAGATCGCACGTTGCTTGAGACATGTTGCGAGCATGTCTCCGCACCCATTTCCTGAGCACTGGCTTTCACAGGGTTTTTTGTGGTGGGTGTCAGCTGAGTTCACGCAACAACCTTGCAGGTATATTTGCCCACTTCATCCTTACACTACGCGGCCTCAACTCAAAAACGTAAGTTTCAGGGGGGCCCGGCCTTTTGACAAAAGCGTGCAGTACGACCATAGTATGTGGGACAATTTCGTCTACACTGAACATGCAGTCATGGTATGCGGGACAGTTTCTCTGAAACTGAACATGTAGCCCTGAGCCCGTCTTCTGAGTATAGTCCCCCTCAAGTAGATAGAATATGGCTTTGGGTAAAATATTACGATCAGATCCCCATATACCCCATAATCTATCTACGTAAGGGGGATTATAACCCCAATACATACCCTGTTATAATATAGTTGTTTTCATTTTCTTTTCCATTATCCCTATATGACCCCTGTAAAGCTTCTTGCAGTCCCAGCCTTCCTGGCCCAAACAGACCCTGAAGCGGAAGCCAAGTGCTCTTCGGGCAGCGACCTGGCAAAACCCGGGATGTTGTGTTCTGAAAGGATAGCTGGGTTCCAGATGTCCCAGATACCCTTGGCCATAGTTCCTGTGGAAGAACCTATAAAACCCTTATAATCCCCGTAGTTTCTTTTTCCTTTTCCATTATCCCTATATTGCCCCAATATAACCCTGCTGTGGACTAACCTGCTTCGATAGTTCGATGGGTCGCTGTCTGCCCGCAGTCTGCCAATGGCAGATGGATTGTTTGAGGTTAGGACTTCGGCTGCTGGTGGGATGTCGGGCATGGCCTCATCTTCTCGTGGCAGAAAAAAGCTGGGACTCTAGGAGGAATATGCATCCACAGATGTTGACAGTGCTCGCCATCCGATTTGGGATGTCCGTTGTTCGGAGGTGTACAGCAGAGCTGGACACATGTAGAAGGTTGTAATGTGGCGTGTAAACTTATATGCTTCTCCCAAAAGGGAAGGCTCGAGATGTTGACAGCTGCTGTCAAAGAAAAAATAAAGTGTCAACTGTTCGCGAGTGTGGATGCTGACTGTGTTAAGCAAAACGCTGATATGTTGCACTCCTTCGAGCGTTCCTAGACTTGTACGCAGCCTGGCAGCAAGCACGACAATTGGGAAGAAGCTCCCAGCCTTGAAGAACGGGCCAGATTCTTCTTGGAGCATGACAAATCACTACACAGCTTGGAAGTCGACCTGCTGTTTACCGGATAGTTTAATGAATCTGATCTGTTCGAAACTGTTTGTGCTGAGTGGTTGAAGGTGGATGGTTGAGGTTTGTCTGCCTTGAAGGATGCGAGCACAGTTTATGTTCTGGCAAATGCCTTGTGCCTGCAGCTCATCTTTGCTAGCCTCAAGAGTACTCTGAGGAAGCTAGTGGTACCAGGAGCACATAGCAGCGTGCATGCTTTAGATTTTGAGCCAGCTCACGGCCGAAACAAGGAGCATATCTTATCATAGCCCCATCTTACCCCATTCCACTGATCTGAGCATTCCTTCGCATTGCCATGTCTTGTGCTTTGAGACGCCATGTCGAAACCTTCGGACACTGTCTTTCATGAGCTGCTCTCTCAGCTTTTTTTCCATGCCTTCCTCCAGTCCGCTGCGTTGTTAGCAACCCAGGGAGGACCAGCGCATCATTGAGAGCATATCGACCTATCGGAACGACCAGCGCGACAAGGACGAAATCCTCACCATCGTCGAGGCTTTGCATGAGCCCAGTGTACCTTCAAGCAGATGTGTGGGCATGATCTGTTGGAGGTATTGATTGTGCTTGGGAAAATTGCTTGCCAGCATGTGAATGCTTGAGTGCTGTGTGTCAGAAACATGGTTGGGCACTGCGCTACGCCCCGCCTCTCTTCAAGTACTCTGAGGAGATATGTGCCGAAGCCTCGGTCTGCTTCAGTGCCTAGTCCTGTCCTTGGAAGCTGTGATAGAGCCAATCCCTTGGCTCACCGGGGGTTAGTAGGGAATGAGGGAATAGAATCCCTATGTAGTTCCTATATACTACATTCCCTTATTCCCTACGAAGTCTCCGGTAAGTAGAGCCTATCGCATGGTTGGGAGGTTGCTGCGGTTAAATCCTATCCGCTGGTCCTTGAGTTCATCTCCCCCGAAATGCGCGAGAATGAGAAGGCCTGCCTGTCATGAGCCCATGGGTCGTACGGAGACGGAGACCCCTCTAAAGTTTCGAAAGACGGATGTTCCCTATATGATACTTGGAGGGCTGGGGGGACATAGTAAAGTCGGATAAAAATAGGGAGAATTGGGTTTATCATATGGCTTGTAGTAGTTATGAACCTATCTACTAAGTCGCCCGGACTCTCCAAGTACTGGAATGAACTGAGAGTGTAAGTTGACCCCTGGGGGATACATACAGCCACATGAATCCTACCTGAGCTACTGTCAGCACCAGCCCGATTAAGGGACCCTTAACGGTGGACATGGGGTCCCTCTTGTAGTTCAGTATGGTCCTGAATAGTCCCGAATAAGGAACTCAAGTGTGTAGGAAATATTGATTGTAGCTAATGCGTGTAATTTCCAGGTTTCCCTTGACATCCCAGCCCTCTGTCTTAGTGTACCCCAACAGCAAGAGCGCATGCCAGGGTCCCTCAGTCTTTTTTTGAAATGTAAGACTGCTAGTGACCCCTACCTTCACAACATAAGACACATGTGTCATGTATCTAGGGTACATGGTAGTTTCCCAAATAGGGGGACCCCAATATAGACCACAAAATACTATAGTCCTGATTTTAGGGACCCCCAATACGGTACCCCTAATTTTGGGAAACTCCCACATGAGGCTAGTGGCCAGTGTCCCCTAACTCAACCCAGGGAGCCCTATGCTCCCCTTAGATCCCTGTATATCCCTCAGGCAGGGGCATCCCCAATGTTGGGGATTTAGGGTTTAGGGTTTAGGGTTTAGAGAACGCCCCATGTCTCTTGAGCATCGAACAGGTGGTCAAGCAGGCTGTCACACTGTGCGGTATGGCCCTCCTTTTCGTCTGGAACTCAGCCGGCGGCGGTTCCCTGATGGCAGACGCACGCGACAGAACTGAGACATTTTTTGGGGGTATTTGTATGAGGTCCCCAACTCTGAGACTTACACTTATGGGCACGGACAAAGAAGGTGGCAAGATTCAATCTATCGGAAGGTGGTTGTTGCGGCAAGGGTATGCTGGGGCATAGCCTGCACCATGCTGGCCGCCACTGCAGGCAACTGCGAAAATGCGAAATCGAAAAGATGTTGTCATGAAGGCGCGCCGTTTTGCAACGGTAACATGGGCCGGCTCATGCGCCACCCAGTCTTTGGGCACCTACTTGTTTGTATTAGAGGGTCCCCCTCGTACTGGGCGGATGGGGGAGTTCGTACCGCTGGGCGCTGCCTATTTTCCCTGGGGGCAGTTGCCTATTTTACTAGCGTAGGGTGAGGTTGGAAAATTAGGTGCAAAAACCTCGCTTCAGCATCAAAAGTTGCTGCGCAAGCTCGGTTCTACATCAGCTAGCTTCTGGAAGCGTGGTCCAGGGACCCCCACTGTTTACGCATCATGGTAACCCCACCCCCCAGAACCTCCCCCTTTTGTATTGTTGGTATTTTGGCAAGAACCTTAGATATTCATTGAGGTCCCCCGCAGAACTGCAACAAGATGTCTTCAGGAATTTGAATCAAACTTTTTCGCTGCAGGCCGTGCAAAACTGTGGCCTGGCCTTGGAGTTCGCCCACCCGGACTGCCTGGTTTTGCCTGAAATCAGGTAGCAGACTCCTACTGTGCACCATTTGCATCAAGCGATGCGCGGACCTGGACCGACTTGTGCAAAGTAGCAGGACCAGAAGAAGCAGCCAGCGGTGGTTTTCACTGCCATGCAACAGGACAGGCCGTGCTCGAGTTTTTAATCCGAGTCATCACCACGAACAGGAGTTTGAAAATCACGTAGGAGGAGTAGTGTAAGCAGAAGCCTGCCGTTGGATCAAGATGTTGAAGCCTGTGCCACTTAGCCGTGCCATCACATCATGAAGCATGCCGCTGTTGCTGTCAATTTGTTGACCTTTGTGGGCTGAAAGCGATGGGGCGAGCCTCATTGCTGTTTCAAGGGGCTGCGCACGAATATAATCCCAATATACTATAGTAATTTCCATGTTCTTTTCCTTTATTCCCTATAAAGCACCTATGTGCTACAGTAGTTTCCACTTTATTATCCGTTAGCTCTATGTAACCCTATATACTATGATAGCTTTCATTTTCTTTTCCATTATCCCTATTTAAGCCTGTATTATACCCATATATTCCATTTTATTTTCCATTATCCCAATATGACCCTTATCTACAGACAACCCTCTACAACCCTATGCAACCCCGATGCAACCCAATATGACCCTATAACCCTGTATAACCCTATATAACCTTATATACTATATAACGCCATGAAACCCGATATAGCCCCTAAATACCCCCCAATATAATCCTATACAACCCTCTATAACCCCAATATAACCCAACTTAATCCTATATATAACCGTATATAGAACCCTATATAACCCTACATAACCTCTATATAACCCTGTTGCAACAGTGTGCTCCCTCCTTCCATCGTCTCGTCCTTTGGCACATGGGCCAAAGCAGCCTGAGCCGGAGGTCACGTGTGCGAGCCCCAGAGTCACACATGATGCAGATACCCGAGGGTTTAGGGTTTGGGGCTTAGGGTTTAGGGCTTAGGGTTGAGGTTTTAGGGTTTAGGGCTTAGGCTTGAGGGTTTAGGGCTTAGGGTTGCGGTTTTAGGGTTTAGGGCTTAGGCTTGAGGGTTTAGGGCTTTGGGTTTAGAACTTAGGGTTTAGGGTCACATGATGCAGATGTAGTCCCCCTTAAGTAGACAGAATATTGGGTATGTTATTTATATAAGGATAACGGAAAAGAAGATGGAGACCACCATGTTAGAATAGGGTATATATTGGGGTTATAGTCCCCGTCAAGTAGATAGCATATGGCTTCGAGTATATTATAGTATGATCCCCATGTACCCAATATTCTTTCTAAGTAAGCGGGGGACTATACCCCCAATATATACCCTACTATACTATAGTAGTTTCCATTTTCTTTTCCATTATCCCTATATAACCCCTATATTCTATCTAAAAAAGGGGGGACTAACCCTTAAACCCTAGACCCTAAACCCTAAACCCTAAACCCAATATTCTATCTAAGTAAGGGGGGACGTACTGCAGCGCCTGGTGCAGAGGGGCGAAGGACTAACCAAGGATCCTGGACTTCTTTAGGAAGCTCAGGAGTTCTGCACGGTTTAGGGTTTAGGGTTTAGGGTTTTTTAGGGTTTAGGGTTAAGGGTGTAGGGTTATTATGATACAATATAGTAATATGATACACTATAGTAATAGAAGAAAACTATTGAAGAGTTCACCAGTGATCGACAGATGGTTTGGGACTCTTCTCTTCGAGTGGTTTCCGCTATGTTGCTCATGGGTCAGAACATGCCCATTTACCAAAGCGCAGGTTCTAGCACAGCAGTCAAAGACTCGTTTTAACTTACGCCCAGGCTTCGTAAAGGCAAGCCCCAAACCCTAACAACCCAACACCTAAACCCTACACCCCAAACCCCCCCAAACCCTGAACCCTAAAGCCTAAAACCTAAAGCCTCAACTTTGAAGCAGCAAAGCTCTATGAAGTGAGGTTATGAGCCAACAGACACGCCAAGGCTTCGAGATGGAGGAGAGTCGGAGAATAGGGTTTAGGGCACTTGGACCCTTAACGCTAGATATCCTTACCTATCCCTATATATATGTATGTATATGTACACATCTACACATCCTTATATAGCTCCATGTAGCCCTATACATGACCCTAATGTCCTCGTCGCTTTTGGGGAAGCTGTCTCTGCTCTGATACTGCTGTAATCGTGCCGCTCCTGATAGCGGTTACCAAAAATTGTTACTCATGTTGTTGAGAGAGGTCTTATAATCTCCTTTTAGACTCCATAAATACATCACAAGGTTTTCTAGGGATACCTCCCCCTCATTGGGAGAGAACCCACAGAACCTCAGTGTTAAGTGAAGGGGCCACATCTTCAAATAGTTCCACATATCCACAAAATTGCACGATTTCAGCAAGATGCCCAAACTTTAAAACAGACTCAAGTCATAAGCATGCCGGTAGTTCTCAAAAAGGTACGTTTGGAGCACCCTGATCACGCACTCTACCTGTGGCGATCTACATCCTGGGTGGTGGCATGAGCCCCTTTACCTTGACAGCCACCCATGTGTCGGACTGCAACAGGAGGAAATCTTGCACCATGTTGCCTTATGTGCAGGAACTACAGTTGTTGATCTCAAGCGGTGTTATTATCCAAACTCTGAATAATGTGGTAGCTTCCATTTTATTTTCCATTCCCCTATCTACCTCAACATACAACCCTTATTCAATGGGTGTGCAAGACTTCCTCCATCTACCACCAGAGGACCTCTCGAGTGAGACCAGCGCGGCTGGGCCGATATGGCACTTCGGCGAGCTCGGCGTTACGCTGAAGCAGGAGATGCGTGTTGCTGGGCCAGGAAGGAGGTCCTGTGTCGTGTTGCTACCGAAAGTGGTGAGATCCATTTGAAGACCACAGGTTTGTCGAGACCAACACCGCTTAAACATCTCCAACGAATACTGCACTGGTGTTGAATGTGTTCAGACTTATCTAAACCAGATCGGCGCTTGAAAAGATGGGCAGAAAATTTGTCGACAAGAGCTGATCCCTCTCGGGAGTGTTTTTTTGTTTTATCCAGTGCCTTGTCTGACCTGCAGCATTGTTGCCATGGGCTCGCCCAGGTTTGCTCCAAGGCGGGCGGGGGCTGTGGCTGAGTTGGGAGCCCCTTGATAAGTCTAAGCTAAGCCGGGCAGTCGGCATCTTTACGCTGATCATCTCAGCAAGTGCGACCTTGAAGAACGCCTGTAGACTCTGCAGGTGTGGCTCTGGCTATTGCAACTTGGGCAGCATGTTGTCGCTGGTGAGTGGAGTTCGATGGAGGCATGATACTGACCGCCGTCTGAGGGCTTATTTCGTTGTTATGCAGTACACCTCCTCCGTCCTTTTTCGCAACCTTGCATTCGCGCGCTACGAGGGGCTTGAGGCGGGATCATGGATGTCCAAGAAATATTTGCATTGCTGAAGCTTGTGCAGTGGGCTAGGTCTATGCCGAAAAGGCTCCATGGCAGCAATCAGCCCAAAAGGCATCATGTCATGCGCGCTGGCCGTTCAGCACCCCCCTGCGATCCTTGAAGCTTGCTGCTTCACATTTGCTGCACAGCGCAGGGCATCAGGTTTCAACGCGAAACCAGAGGTGTGTCATCTTTCTCTCGGAGCTGTTTCGAGTTAGTCGTGTGTGGCGCACATGGACTGTCTTGGTGTCAGGGCAATAGATGGGTGTGAAAGTCTGCCAGGGCCTCCACATCACAGGCTTGCCTGGCTGCGCATTATCGCAGCAAGGGCAGCCAGACTGCTTGCGAAGGGCAATCACAAGTACATGCACTCCAAAGATGTGGTCATGGGTGCCCACCCTTCGGTCAATAATGAGCGCGGAGGCCGCGGGCTTCCTGAGTTAAAGTTTGGATTGCCACAGCATGGGCCTTCGCGCGCGCACTGCTTCGCCATCAGCACCATGTGCAACATAGCCAGAATCAGGCGAAGCCGACGGCACGTTCCCGATTGAGATCATGATATGGGAGCCTTGCGCTGACCAAGCGTGAAACCCGCGGAAGCGAATTTGCCTTGCGCGGGTAGTCTGACCCGCCTGATGCCGAGCCGTTTTGTCTCACGCACCGCCGAGCTTCACAAAATCTGGCGTAACGTGCGCGCCAGCACGCCCACCGGCGCCTCTTCCTCCTGGAGTAGTGCCTGCTGAAAACTGACGTGCCCGCGCCTCAAAAGCAAAGGAAATGCCTCTGGAGACTCTGGAGCCTCCACCGCCGCTCTGGCCGCCCCGGCCCCTGCAACTCTGGCGCTTGGCTCGAAAAAGAATGCAGTAGCATCATCCAAGCAGGTTTTCCATTGCTGGATCCACGCAGGTCATGAGCAGAATGTTGGCTCGGGATGGCACGTTATGATCATCTTCTGCCTGGTATGAACCAAAAGGACTATACTTGTTCAGACAACCCCTGTGCAGATGGGTCAAAGCATTTGCACAACGAAGAGCAGGCAAAACAGCACAACAGCTTTCATGAGCAGACGAGGCATGTTTGTGCAGCACGCCGAAAATCAGCATGAACAGACGCTGGCACATCGTGGTCTCTGAGCCGACAGGCCCTCACAACACGACGGCAATTGGGTGCAGTTCTTCCAGTGTCTGTGACTTATGCGTGCCGTTTGTGGGCACGTCTTCTGCGATCATCACGGTGCCTCGCAGCATGTGTCGTTCAGACTGCCAGCAACGTACCGGTCCTCTTGCGTCGCCTCTGCCATGGGTCTGTTGTTTTGGGCCTGATTTCCCCGTTTCGTAGGGTGTCGGACCAGGTTGCGCGCAGACCGTTGGCGTGAGCATGTCAGAATGCAGCGACGCACCATTCCATGTGCTCAAGGCATTGTTGGCAACCGAAACCGAGTAACTGCGTTCTTGTTGCGTTATTTTGTGTTGGCAGCAGCAACCGCACATGCACGCCATAGTTTAGGGCAGGCGGCGCTTCATTGTGGGTCTGATACAAACCTTGTTACATTGCTGCGCCCGCGATGTCGTGCGAGAAAAATGGTGTGCACGAAGTCCACCATGTCCATCCAGTTTTTGAGATTAAGAATCCTTTTTCAACTCACGCCCTTTTCTCACCACAGGTTGGCGCACAGTACTTGTTGTTGCCATTCCAAGCTGCCGAAGCATAACAGGCCTTG